TGGAAACATCATGGAACACACTCCCCCCCCCCGAGATTCGTCTGGACCCCTCGCTGGGCATTTTCAAAAACCAACTCAAGATCTGGTTATATAGAAAGGCCTTCCCTCCGGACACTACATAATTCTCTCTTTATCTATTTTGTTTTGTGTTAATGTTGGAAACTGTTATTTCATATTAATTATTTTTATTACGTGTTTTGTGAGCCGCCCAGAGTAGACTATGTCTAAATGGGCGGCATACAAGTTCAATAAATAAATAAATAAATAACAAACAAACAATAATGTCATTTGACCAGGGTTGGGTGAGGGAAAGGGAGCCAGTCAGCGTGTCATAGAGATCTTATCCTCACGACAACCCTGTCAGGTAGACCAGTCTTACAGCAGGAATGGGCACAGAGTGAGTTGTGGATTGCAAGCAGCCCCCGAGCCTATTTTTCTTTCCTGGGGCCTGAAGCCACCCCCACCACCCCATTCTCCTGCAAGAAAAATGAAAGAGAACAGCAAAAGCTGGGATTTTAATCCTCCTGAAGACCCCTGCAGTTATGGACTTGCAAGAAAACAGGGCACAAAGTCCTCCAGCACTCCTTGCTAAAACTTTTTAAAAATGTTTCTGCAGCTAGAAACACACTTCTGTCCATTTGTGTTTCCGATGTGCGTCCTAGGCATGCATTTTTTGAGGCGAAGCAGCCCCTGACGGGTCCGAGAGGCATAAAAACGTGGGCCCCACGTCCTAGCAGAGCCGAAGAAAGGAAGGCCAGTGTGCTGGAGCCTCACAGCCGGTCTCAGCTCTTCAGCCTTCCTGGCGCTTACCTGAAGGGCAGAGGCACTGGAAGCGACCCAGCAAGTCCAGACAGGAGGCGCCATTATGACAAGGCTGGCTGAGGCATTCATTGACGTTGGATTCACAGCGGGAGCCCGTGTAGCCCTCGGGACACCGGCAGCTAAAAGAGCCGAGTGTATTGTGGCAGCTTCCACCATGTTCGCAGGGGTCCGCGCCTGGCGAGGGAGCAAGAAGGAACCGAAAAGGGAGAGACACAGATATGACATTCAGCCGTCTCCCAAGGTCATAAATGTCACTGCCAGACCACATAGTGTTCTGCTTAAGCTAAGCTAAAGGGGAGACCCAAAATATGACTTTTTTGGACTACCAGTCCCCAAAACCTTTGGCCAACATGGCCTGTTCGAATCAATTTAACCTTGCATGCTGCCTTTAGGAGGTATGGCTGGGAGGAAGCTTTCTGGGCTGGGATGACCATCACTCTGTCCAGCAGCAACTAATTGCTCAGTGGTTTAGGTCTCTGGCTTGGGAGTTCGATTCCCCACTATGCCTCCTTGACCGGGGCTAGACTTGATGATCTAGAGGGTCCCCTCCAGCTCTACAATTCTGTTATGATGATCATTGTTGTGCCATGCCTCTGATTTCAAAAAGACTCCACCTCTCTTCTCCCTCTTTATGTTTTAGTTTGCTGGTGGTTAGAGTGCTGTAAGAATGCAGTCTGCAGGAGTCTGCTGGAAGGAGGCCGTAAGTCTGTGGAGGGCTGAAGCTATCATTTTTGTTCATTTAAAAATATTTTTTACCCTGACTTTCTCCTTTAAAAGGATCCAAAGTGGCTTACATCATTAAAAGACAGTATTTATGCTAACACCAGTGACAAATACAAAAAGCATCAAACAAATACCATAATAACAATTTATAAGCAGTCATTTTTGGACATTATGCCATTTTTGATCTGTTCAGAACTGTAAGTAAATGGAACTTTTTATTCTTTCCTTTACCCATGTCTCATTATGAGTTATTGTGACTGTAAGTGCCAGTTGATGAGACAATAAGGGGTGGTCTACTCTGGGGAGCTTTGAAGCTAATTCTGCTCTATATGCCTCTGAACTTCTGTTGTGCAGCTTAGATATTTTTTAACCAAAATTCAAAACTCTCCAACAGACACACACACACCTCCCTCCCACCTCTTGAGGGAGGACAAGCCATGTGCAGGCACACACACATTTCCCTCTTGACTCTCTTCTGTCTTTCCTGCTTCTTCTCTCTCTCTCCATGAGCAGAGAGGAGGAAGCCAGGATACATTCAAGAAATGGGGTGAACAAAGCCTGTTGGCAATATTTTTCATTATTATTATTTTTTTAAAAAAAACAGACACATTTTTAAAAAATAGTCTAAAACAAAGCTAACAATATGAAGAAGCCTTAGTTAGAATAATTGCCAAAATCCATGACAAGAGACCAAAGTTGTTTTCAAGGGTGTGTATTTCTTTAAAACTTCACAGTGTGGTTGTAACTTCCCAGGTAATGATTAAGACAGGAACTAGGTAGTGTTTCCGACCACCAGAAAATGTGGCAAACCACATTTTGAGACCTTTGCTGTCTGTTTTTTAAAATGAAGAAACCACGTGCTGAATGTTTCATCCTTTTTTTCTTTTTTCTTTTCTTTTTGGTGGTCTAATACAAAGACATCAGCTTGCCAGCATTGTGTAAGGACCGCATGGTTCTTTCTGGTGGTTATTTTGTGGGGAGGGAGGTCAGAGGTTGTCTGGAGCTCCCTTTTAACCGTGCCCCATGCCAAGGTCTAGCAAACACTCTGATTTCCAGAGTGGCCAGTCAATGCAGAGAGAGACCCAGACAAACTTGAATTCCCTGGTGTGAGTTCAAAGCAAATGAATGAGTAAACTCACATTTCCCTCACTGTGCAGCCACATCTTAGGAATTGTAGTCCAAAACACACAATTTTAGTCCAAAACACACCATTTTTCTATGTTCTGCCAATGCTCTCTACCCCTCACCCACCCCCATCTGCCCTCTGAGGTGACTTCTTCATGCTGTTTAATGGAAAGACTGGTAAAGGTAAAGGTTCCCCTTGACAATTTTTTTTTGTCCAGTCGTGTTTGACTCTAGGGGGCGGTGCTCATCCCCGTTTTCAAGCCATAGAACCAGCATTTGTCCAAAGACAATCTTCCGTGGTCACAGGGCCAGTGCGACTTAGACACGGAACGCTGTTTACCTTCCCACTGAGGTGGTCCCTAATTATCTCCTCGCATTTGCATGCTTTCGAACTGCTAGGTTGGCGGGAGCTGGAAGTTGATGTTTGACTCTAGGGGGCGGTGCTCATCCCCGTTTTCAAGCCATAGAACCAGCATTTGTCCAAAGACAATCTTCCGTGGTCACAGGGCCAGTGCGACTTAGACACGGAACGCTGTTTACCTTCCCACCGAGGTGGTCCCTAATTATCTCCTCGCATTTGCATGCTTTCGAACCGCTAGGTTGGCGGGAGCTGGAAGTTGGAAGGACTGGGCCTGCCTCTAATTATATGGCAGAAAATGAGTAGGCTACCTTTGTTATGAGGCTGACTTTATGATGGGCACCACCCTTTCTGTCCTCCTTACCCATCTGGCACTCGTTGATGTCTTCATAGCACAGGGCCCCTGCGTAACCTTGCTGGCACGTGCAGACAGCATGGCCAGTCACAAGGTCAGTGTCACAGTGTGCATCCGGATGACATGGGTCGCTAAGACAGGCATCGTGAAGGTGGCAAAACAGCCCTGTGGGGCAGAAATGGGTGGTCAGCAGAATGGTCCTGGATGGACGCTGGTTCCTAAAAGTAAAAAATAGCCCCTCCCGCCACATACTCCAGTGCTTCCTAAAATGAATAAGCTGCATTGCATACATGCATACTAGAGCCTTGGCTACAGTGTCGCCTCCATCACTAGTATTGCAGTGACATCATGGAATGTTCATAAACATTTCACGTTCTAAAGGTGGTAAAATGCCATTTATGGAATATTAAATGCAAAGTGTACACAATACTCTGTACTGTCGCTTTTCTCCATGTGAGGTCTCCACAACTACAAAAAAGGCTGACACTGAGGCTGAGTGGGGATTTGAACCTTGTTTTCCAGAGTCATAGTCCATCACTCTATCCACTACACCACACTGGGATTCCCCAACATAACTTAGCATATGAAAATTTGGCATGAAGTTCTATTTTGGGGAGTGTTGATGTTGGCAATGGGAACTGACTACCACGAGGTAAATAGCTGCTAAATTTAGGTAGGTTCCTTTAATAACCAAGGGATCTCTTTTGCATATACAGTAGTTCACTTCACCAGGAAGACAATGGATCATTAAGGAAGTTGTGCACATCCTAGCTTCTTTGTTTATCATTATCCTTGGAGGCTGGAGTGTTCAGCTGCCCTTTGATGCTGTTATGACGTTTAGCTGTTTTATTTCCAATCCCTTTCCTAATATTGAATTTGCAGGTTTCTCAGCTGCACAAAACTCAGGGATCCTGACCCACAGCCATTCTGGAGATCTTTCCTCCTTTCATTCCGAACCTGCCAAGAAACACTGCTGGATTCTCCACCTCCCTTCTCTAGAAGCACTGAGAATGTCTTTCTAGAGAAAAGTAAAATTTGCGGAAGTCTCTTTTTTTAGACTACTGTTTCCAGAATCCCTCACCCAACAAGGTGCTATGGGCTAAATATCTTGGTGTAGAGGTAGGGAGCCCCACATACACAAGGGCCAAACCTGGCCCTTGGATTTATTTATTTATTTAAAATATTTTTATCCTGCTTTTCTCCTTTAAAAAGAACCCAAGTCAGCTTACATCATGAAAAAGACAATATTTAAAAGCTAAAGTACACAAATATTAAAAAAGAATTATTATATTAAAAACGGTAAAGGAAATTTATATAAAAACTTATTTAAAACAACTGAGCACAACATTCAATGTAAAAATCCCTCTCGCAGACCACCAGTCACTGGGGAAAAGCCTGCCTGAGGAGAACGGTCTTTGCCTGCTTGCAAAAGGACAGCAAAGATGGGGCTGGCCTAGCCTCCAGTGGGAGGGAGTTCCAGAGTCTGGGAGCAGCAACAGAGAAAACCCTCTCCTGTGTTCCCACCAAGTGCAACTATGAGAATGCTGGGACTGAGAAAAAGGCCTCCCCTGATTATTTTAATTCCTGGGCACACTCATAAAGGGAGACGCAGTCCTTGAGATGGCTTGGACCCAAGCCGTTTAAGGCTTTATAGGTTAAAACCACCCATTTCCTGGATGGGCACAACCCCTTCTGCGTGACAGCATCATAAGATGGCTCCCCAGAAATGTCATGCATTCCCCCACACACACCGGCTTTGGTTCCATTTTTTATATCTTTGGCCCCATTCATCACAAGCCTGCAGCTCCCAAGAGCTTGTCCAAAATCGAATTCAGCCCCCCAAGGCTAAAGGGTGTCCCTCCCCTTTGGCTTAGTGGATTATAGTGGAGGGAGGGTGAGCCAAGCATCTGTGCATCCTTTTTACCTGTCCAGCCAGGGAGGCAATGGCAGGAATACGAACCCACTCCATCCTGGCAGGTGCCCCCATTGCTGCACTGGTGTCCCACACAGTCATCTGGGTTCACTTCGCAGTATTGTCCTGTGTAGCCTGTAGGGGGAGACAGTGAGACAAAACAATTTAGTAAATTTACTAGTGTCGACCAGTTGGGGGAGCTCAAGGCTGACCAAAAATATTTTACTCCCTAAAGCAGGGGTCAGGGAACTTTTTTTACCTTTTACCCCTCAAAAAATTTATACAGTATATGTATATACATTCCCCCCCCTTGCTGTCCACAGCCGACCCCCCCGCCCGCCCCTGCACTCGCCCGGGACCTGCCGCCGCCACCCGGGCAGCCAGTCTGGAGCCGCCACACCACCAGGAAAGCACGTCATTATGCCCAGGATTTTCATTTTTATCCCATTTGGGGTAATTTACCCCTGTTCCCTGACCACTGCCCTAGAGCAAAAGACAAGAAGGCCCTCGCTTCTGGACAGTGTACAGAAGACAACTAAACTGGAAGTGAGGTTGTGCTTCAATACTAGCAACAGAATAGTATTCTCTGCAATGTGATTATACTTTCAGAAATTCCTTCCTTCCTTCTGGTGCCTTAAAAGGGGCCAGAATCTCTTGGCCAGCATTGCTGAGGAAGGCGCTGTCTGTCTCCCTCACCCACTGACTCCCAAAAAGGTCAAAAACCAGCAAGGCTTCCAGAATCTGGGAAAAGTGGCTGAGAAGGAAGGCTCTCTCCTGTGTCCCCACCAAATGCCACTGTGAGAGTGGCGGGACCAAGAGAAAGGCCCATTTTAAATCAATGGGATTTAGAGAAGAGTTGACTTACTAAATCCTCATTGATTTAATTTCCCAGTCAGATTTTATTTTCCTGGGCTCCCTGATCACTGCAGATGGAGACAGCAGCCATGAAATTAAAAGACGCCTGCTTCTTGGGAGGAAAGCGATGACAAATCTTGACAGCATCATGAAAAGCAGACATCACCTTGCCAACAAAAGTCCGAATAGTCAAAGCTATGGTTTTTCCTGTCGTGATGTATGGAAGTGAGAGCTGGACCATAAAGAAAGCAGACCGCCGAAGAATTGATGCCTTTGAATTGTGGTGCTGGAGGAGGCTCTTGTGAGTCCCCTGGACTGCAAGGAGAACAAACCTATCCATTCTAAAGGAAATCAACCCCGAGTGCTCACTGGAAGGACAGATCCTGAAGCTGAGGCTCCAATACTTTGGGCATCTCATGAGAAGAGAAGACTCCTTAGAAAAAACCTTGATGTTAGGAAAGTGTGACGGCAAGAGAAGAAGGGGACGACCGAGGATGAGATGGCTGGACAGTGTCTGCGAAGCAACCAACATGAATTTGACACAACTCCGGGAGGCAGTGGAAGATAGGAGGGCCTGGCGTGCTCTGGTCCATGGGGTCACTAAGAGTCGGACACGACTAAACGAAAACGGAGTGTAATCTACTACACTAAGCAACTGGATTTAGGCCGGAGAGTGATACCAGTCTGATACAACTGGAGATCCTCCTTCTCTGCAAAGAAATGCATCTGATTTATCTCCAAAATCCAAATTTTCCAAGTTCCAATCAGGACTTTCCTGCCCTAACTGGTGGTGGGAGAGGCTTAACTCCTTGCCAATATGGAAGTAAGGTCCGGAGCAGTTTTTGCATCTTCGCATGCTGCTTGCTTAGGCTGGGAGGGACCTTCCAGGTTATTTTATGAATGAATCAGAAATTTCTGGGACTCGTGTTTAGGGGAACCCCAACATGTAACCCCCCCCCGTGCCTGGTTCCTTACCTGGGAGGCAGAGGCAGCCGTGGTATCGCTCGTCCACATCGTGGCAGGTGCCCCCATGGAGGCAGACCTCCGAGGAGCAGGGCCCCAGGCGGTACTGGCAGAGCGGGCCGGACGAACTGGGCGGGCAGAGGCAGCGGAAGGAGCCGATGTTGTTCACGCAGGTGCCCCCGTTGAGGCAGGGGCTGGGGTTGCCGAAGCACTCGTTGACATCGCGTTGGCAGGTATGCCCTTCGAAGCCTGCCCGACACTGGCAGACAATGACAGGGTAAGTGATGACACACGTCCCGCCGTTGGCGCAAGGGTTGGCAGGGCAAAAGTCCATGAGCTGGCAGTTCTTTCCTGGAAAGTGACCAAAGCAGCTTCAGAGGCAAGGCTGCTCACTGGCTGGCGAGCGCCTTTCTCCTCTGACCCAGAGAAGACAGGGTGAAAAGGTCAATCTAATACAGCATCCTGTTTCCAACATCTGGATACCTCCCGGAAGCCCTCAAACAGGGCGGGGGGGGGAGGTGAAGGCCACAACTGTCCACTATTGGGATGACTCTCTCCATAGCAATAATATTCCACAGCATGGGATCTCCGATCATGAAGGGCTTCATTCAGTTTTCAGAGAGCTTGCAAATATTAGTTATCTTTTTGGACAACAACTCCCCTCCAGCATCTTCTATCCAGAATGGCTCCCGGCCATCAATCCCCAGGAAATACAATCTGTAACAACCACTGTCTTCGCTCCTTCCCTGTCTCTAAATTCACAGACAGCCATGCCTCTCTGCTAACAGCTCTTCTCTCCCTTAATCTCTGTTGAAAGCAATGAACAAGTTGGGACCTGTTGCTCAACGTATCCATGTCTGGTTAGTTTGTTGTTTGATCTGTTCAGACCTCTAAGTAAACAAACCATTTTATTCATTATACCTTTTTGATCCGAAGTGCCCAAACGGGGGGCCCAACCCCTGCCAGCGCCAGCTGCTCTGGATCCTGGCCCGCCGCCTGTCACCAGCTCCGCGACTGCAGACACCTCCTCAGGTTTGGCTGCCAGGGGCAGCGATCCGACAACTTATAGCTTGCGTGCCCGCAGAGAGGGCTCTGCATGCCAACTGTGGCATGCGTGCCATAGGCTCGCCATCACTGACATACTATTAATGCCTCAGAGTGAGTTATTGCGAATGCAACTGCCCGTTGACAAGAGAAAAGGGGTGAACTGATCTGCATCAGCTGGAATCAAACGTCAATGTTTAGAATTCTTTGCCTGAGGGAACAAAATGTCTGAGGAGAGCCCTCCATATCCCAGGCTCTACTTCATCTGCCAGACTGTAGCCCTAAAGAGAGAGGGAGGGGTGTGTGTGTGTGTGTGTGTGTGTGTGTGTGTGTGTGTCGTCTGTGTCTGTGTCGTGTGTGTGTGTGTCTGTGTGTGTGTGTGTGTGTGTGTGTGTGTGTGTGTGAGAGAGAGAGAGAGAGAGAGAGAGAGAGAGAGAGAGAGAGAGAGAGTATCTTCTGCATTTACCCTACCTGTCCATCCTGATCCACACAGGCATTGGTACTGTTTCTCAGAGACCCTTTGGCACAATCCGCCATGTTGGCATGGGGAAGGGAAGCATGGATCTTCAAGGCTTCCCTGGCACTGCTCCCCAGTGAATCCGGCGGGGCACAGGCAAGTGTAGCCAGGAGGGACTGGGGGATGAAGGGCCTGGAGGAAGCAGGTGCCTCCATTCTGACATCGCTCAGGTTTGCAGGGGTCCACAAACTGGCACCGGTCTCCCACATAGCCAGGGAGGCACCTGTCAAGGCAGGAATCAACAAAGGAAAAAGAGGGACTCACCCCCCAACTCTGCAAAATCGTTTCTTGAGTTGTGCCAGAGCTAAAGTCATTGGACCTGTTCTCCAATTTAGTCTGCAAAATCGTTTCTTGAGTTGTGCCAGGCCTGAAGTCACTGGACCTGTTCTCCAATTTAGAAGTCAGTCCATCCGTCCGTCAATCACCCATCCATCCATCCATCCATCCATCCATCCATCCATCCATCCATCCATCCATCCATCCATCCATCCATCCATCCATCCATCCATCCACCCCCTGCCTTTCCCCTTTAAAAGGACCCAAGGCATTTAATGATGTAATGATGTGGATTACATCATTAAAATACAACATTTAAAGCTTAAAAACAGTAAGCACACAAATACTTAAAAGGATCAAGCAAATATCATACTAAAAAAAAAATAGTAAACAAAAGGAACGCCCAAAACTCATTCAAAGCAGTCAGGCCCAGCCAGCCATTTTAAAAAAAAAAATCCCCTCAGGCAGTCAGTCATTAAGGGAAAGCCTGCCTGAGGAGAAAGGTGCCACAATCATCAGTCATCACCACCACAGGAACATCCGTTGTGGTGAACCACACTGCATTTTAGTGGCCGAGGCAGCTGTGTGGAGACCCCCTGGAGAGTCCAATGGGGGGGGGGGCTTCCTCCCACCAGGAAGTTCCCCACCCCTGGAGTGAGAAAAGAATAGGGCAGGATAAAAAGCAACCCCATTAAGACTGAGTCACGGTCTGCATTGTTCGTTTCTTGAAAGAGCACACTTCCCTGGGAACCTGATCCTCTTTCATGTCAGGGCCTCCATCCCAGTTCTTTTAAAAAACAGTTATTTCTTGTATTTTGATGATGCCACTCATCCTTCCAAGGTGGTGGGAGATCAGCAGCTGGACTGTTGTTGTTTTTTTACAGCCCAAAATGTCTAGGGTTCAGTGTGTAGAAGATTCTCCCGTCGGGCTGGGAAAAGCCCCACATCTGAAAACCCGGACTGAGGGTCATCCGCTAGACGGAGGGGGTCTCCTCAGGGGTGTGGGACTCTGAAAGCGGCACACAGCTGCCACGGCCACAAGCCTCCTTCTCATTGCCGTCACCCGGCCACGTGTGTAGCCCAGTCACTCGAAGGGTGGATGGAGCAAAGAAGGAGCCTTGAGATGCCACAATGGGAACTGTTGAAGCCCCAAGTTTGGTCCCTGTTGATCTCCTTCCCAGAGCAGTCTAAGCTGCCTTCTCTCTGCAACCCATCAAAAATAAAATCTGGCGCACCTTTCTGGGAAAAAGACATTGGGGTCCTGGAAACTTACAGGCACGTAAAGGTTCCATTGGAGTCCCTCCGACAGGACCCTCCATTCTTGCATGGGTCTGTGATACAGGAGACGCCTGGGATAGGAGAGAGAGAGAGAAAGATTTATCAGTAGTGCTCTCAGCTTTTTGATGGGCAGGGCCCCATTTCTTGAAATCGGCAGAGGAGGTCTGTGGGTGTGTCAGGTTGGCTGCTCAGAGGCAGTAATTCTGGCTCACCTTTTAAAAAAAAAGTAAGTGAAGTCCTACACATACTGCATATAAAGAACAAAGGGCATTAAACGGCAGCTCTACAATGACCTGTATTGAAATAATGACCACTGTACTGTATTTAAAGTAACCAGTGGGTGGAGGTCAATAGGCCGAGAAGGTAACCAGGTGGGCTTGGGCATCAGGTCTATCTTGATCTTTGCAAGTAATTCCTCATTTGCTGAAATCCTGTGACACAGTTACACAAAGAAATTTCCATAGGCATGACCTGTTGCACATGGAGCTGCCCGTAGACATTATCTACGGGCATTTATTAACTTTCGGCAATTCACTTGTGAAATTCCTGCCATTAGTGTAACTGAGCAACAGGATTTCAGCCGTTTATCACTTCTTCTTGAGATCACTCCTTACTTCTGGAAAAATGTCTACTTCATTCATTCATTCATTCATTCATTCATTCATTCATTCATTCATTCATTCATTCTCCTCTTGACCAGCAACAGAGGGCTGGTTATCTCCATGTGGACTTTTAGCACACATTTAGAAGTTATCTCTAAAGGCTTTTACAATCAAGTCTAAGCTCCCCCCCCCATTTATCCTGAATAAAGGGATTCCCCCCCTTCCCAAGTCTAAACTACCACAAGCATCCAGGGAGATTATTTCTAATTTATAGCTCTCAGCTCACCTTAATAGCTTCTTGCTTTCTTTTAAAATATTTACTGGAAATTCCTACACACTTTTCCAGTGATTGAATACACTGGTAGACTTATGTATGGTGGATCATCAATAAACATAGATCTCTTGGACAATAGACAAGGTGATAAAGCTGGTCCAGGACTATGTCATTTTAGGCGGGAACAACACATGATTGCAAGTTCCTCCAGACAAAAACAAGGAAACACCTTGCCTGTAGAAACCAAGCATGTCAGGCAGAATAATTCTACCTCAGCCTGCATAGTTTCTAACTCTCCTGAGATGTTTGCTTTCTTTATGCAGGGTGTTTTTGTTTGTTTGTTTGTTTTGTACTTTTTCTTTATGCAGGGTGTTTTTGTTTGTTTTGTTTTTTTGTACTTTGAAGGAAGAACAATTCTGAAGGAAGAACAATTCAGCCACACAACAGTCCAAAATGGCATCGTTCCAAAAATTAGTTTATCATATTGTTTGCTCTTTTGTGAGACACGGGAAGAGAGGAAGGAGTAATCCCCCCCCACTCCAATGAGTTGACGTAACAGGGATGGTAAAGATCCCACCCTTCATTCAATGAATGCAACTGACACATTATTTATCATGTTCAATGAGTAAATTTATACACACACCCAATGTGATGCAGTGGAGAGAGTACTAGACCAGGACTGAGAGGACGTGCGTTCAAATCCATGCTCGGATCTGAAAACTCACAGGGGTTGGTAGAAATGGTAAATCATTCCTTGATTATACAGTATCTCATCTATTGAAAACCATATTAGGACCAGCATAAATTGCAAGCCGCTTGACAACACTTCATACAACATTTTGAAGGAATATACAACAAATACATTTTGCAGCCTTCCCTCTACAAACACAATGAGACAGAAACATTTACACACACCCAAACACACGCATGGCCTGAAAGATCCATAGGCAATATAGCTTCCACCTGGATGCCAACTATTCAACCTGATCCTGTAGCTGTGCTTTATTTATTACTTACATTGATTTTTTAAAACTTACACACTCCCCAACTGACCAAAAAAAAATCAAAACAGTCAATAAAAGAGCAGTCTGAATAAAATAACAGCCAATTCCAACATTAACAATAAAAAATCCCAAAAACTCCCCCTATGTGCCATCAAGTGAGAGCCCACTTAGAGGAGCCCTAACTAGCTTTTAAGGTAAATGAGACATTTAAGGTCTCACCAGTTCCATTCCCCAACCAGTTTCCATAACTGAGGTGGGATTCGAACCCAGGTCGCCTCTAAATCCTAGTCCCTCACTCGAACTGCTACTACAGTGGGCAATCCCTTAAAAATATTAAGGTGATTTAAACCCAGCCCTAAAATGCCTTTGTGGCAATTTAAAAAAGGGATGATAGCTGTCGAACTGCGACTGCACATCGCTCCATATCAAGCCCTTGTTTATTATTTATCTATTTAACTTATATACTGACCCAATACCAACAGTGTGATACACACTCTCTGGCGGTTAACAACCAGAACAGGTAAACTGTAAACAGCTCAACAATAATTATAAACAAACAGTAAACAATAAAATAAAACCACACGACTTGCCATAAGTAAATAAACAAATCTAAACTAGAGTCGGAGATCGAAACCACACGACTTGCCATAAGTAAATAAATCTAAACTAGACTCGGAGATCAAAGGATGCCCATTAATAAAAGACATGCTCCCTGTTAAAGGCGTAGCTGCAGAGGCTGGTTGGAAAGTTGGCACTCACAGCTCATAGCCCTGAGACCATGGAGCAGGTAGCCACATTCCACCTGCTGGCTTCCTTCTGCTTACCTTGAGTGAGTGGAATCAATGCCAGGAGCAGCAAGTGCTTCATCCTGTTTGTAGACCCTCACTTCACCCGGCAAACCGCCTCCCCCCCCCAGTCTTTCAGTGACCCTGAAATCCAAGAAGACACTAGCCCACCCTTTGCCCAGCCCATGGAACCCCCTAGATCTGCAGGCGAGTGGTAGGATTCTGCAATTATTTCCTCCTTTGTTCCTCCTTTTCCCCACCCACCGACCCTGTAAAAGAACTAAGCATATCCTGGCCTTCATTGTCAAAGGCTTCCTGCCCCATACAATGCTTGGGAGGAGAAAGATTTCCTGTTACTCAGGGAACTTTTGTCAACATGCAAAAAGGGTTGGGAGAATATTGGGGTGAGGGGTGGGGTGTGCATTGGGAGTGGATGCACCAGCATCATCATCAGCACAGTGAAACATCAGCACTTGGAAATGTTAACTATTTAGGACTACAAACCCCCAAATCCCCAGCCTATACTGGCTGGAATGTGCCAAGAGCTGTCGTGCAAAAAAGTAAAATATCCAGTGACTGGTGAAGGTGCAATTAAGAAGTTGCAGCCATTGTAAATTAATATCTCAAACAGAGGGAACACATGTTCTTATCACAGAGGAAGCTAAAACTGTGATTTCTGAGGCCTGGGTTCAAGTCTTCACTCCCGCTTGATGCAGTGCAATAAGTATTCTGAGGTGCTTTGAATTGCTCGCATTCCATTCTCAATGAATTCCGAGAGCAAAATCTGAAACCAAGGGGCTAGTCCTCATGATATTGTAAAGCTGAATTCTTGTAAAGCCACACAACCGGGCAGATGGGTTGGGAACCCAGAGCTGCTTCTGAGCTGCCCAACTGTGGAAAGATGCACAAGGACAGACTGGACAAATGGGCCCACACTCCATGGAAAACCTAACGTAATAAAGTAATGTATTCTCAAAGGCTTTCACAGCCAAGATCCGATGGTTGTTGTAGGTTTTTCAGGCTGTCTGGCCGTGTTCTTGAGGTTTTTCTTCCTAACATTTTGCCAGTCTCTGTGGCCGGCATCTTCAGAGGAGAGGAGTCGCAACTCTCGCTTTGCTCTGTTGCAGTTTGTGGGATAGTGGAGTATTTATAGCTGTCGGATCAGCTTCTGTCCTTTTCAGGAAATTGGGTGATTATGGTAATCAGCGTGTTTTTTTGTTGTGTATTGTTGTGATCTGTCACTGTGATTGATGGGTGTCATTAGCTACTCCTTTGTGTGCAGTGATCCCCAGGCCTTCTGGCTGGGTAAAATTTGTTGACCTTTTGCAGGCTGTATTTTTTCAGTACTGGGAGCCAGGCTTTGTTGAGTTTTAGACTCACTTCTTTTTTGTTGAAGCTCTGCTGGTGTTTGTGGATTTCAGTGGCTTCCCTGTGTTGTGTAACATAATGATTGCTGGTGTTGTCCAGCATTTCTATATTTTGAAATAGAATTTCATGTCCAGCTTGTTTCAGGGCATGTTCAGCTAGGCTGGCCCTATCTTTGCTGTCCTTCCGCAAGCGAACAAAAACCTTCCTCTTCAGGCAATTTTTTCCTCAGTCACCAGCTGTCTAAGAGGGGGGATGTGTTTTCCAGCCTTCCCTTCCAGTTTTTTTATAGTGTTTGTTTTAATATTGTAAACCTCTTTGTGTCCTCTTGAAAACAAATGCAAAGTATTAATTAATTAATTAATTAATTAATGCAATTTACATGACATGTAAGGAGGTCTTTCCAAGTTATCCGTTGCTGCTGGAGCTTGTCGAAAGCTCACTGCCAGTCAAAGGGGACTTTTATCTGCACTGCCCCTCTCCAGGCCTTGGGCTGCTTTTCCTCGGGCTTGTGTAGCAAGAAGGCTCAGGAGGCATGAGGCTGGTGCTCCACCCGCTGCCTTGCTCCAGATGGCCCAGCGGGCCCTGGTGTATGCAACCAGTGGGATTTTCCCCAGTCCCATCACTCACTCCTGGCTTTTTAAGAGACAGTGTTGCAAAAGCACAACATATCCACAGACACCGTCACATTCAAAGCAAGCCCTCAGCACCATCTAGGAGGGTGGAGAGATGGGGGGTCTATCTTGCCTTCAAAGATGCCTCACACACACAACCATTTTTTTTTATTTTATCCTTGCTCACTGAGAGTCGTTTCCACTTTCTGGTGACCCTGCAAACTTGCCTGTTCCTAAACAGACATTTATCTTCTTCTCCCAATAGTAGGACGGGTCTAATCATTTCCCAAGCTCGTCCTGTTTATCTGCTTCTTCCTCAGTTTATCTTAGAAGCACAGAGATCAAACATACCTACTCCATTTCAATCCAAGGAGAAGAACTCTGTTGCTTAGCATGTTCACTGGCGCTCGAATAGGTCTGTTTGAACCAGGGGGGATTGGGAGAGTCAACTCCTCCACAAGATCCATTTATGCAATGGGCCTACTCTAGATGGGACTTACAGTACTATGGGAGAGTCAACTCCTCCACAAGATCCATTCATGCAATGGGTCTACTCTAGATGGGACTTACTATACAGTATATACACTAAAACAAGTACAACTGGAGTAGCCCGATCACAGCTACCCTTGCTCAGAGTGGTATTTGTTTGTTCTTTTGAAATATTTCTGTCCTCATTGTTTTTAGCTTTAAATATACTGTTTTTCAGTGATGTAAGCCACCATGGGTCCATTTTAAGGAGAATGGCAAGAAAATCAATCAATCAATCAATCAATCAATCAATCAATCAATCAATCAATCAATCAATCAATCAATCAATCAATCAATCAATCAATCAATCTCCGCTGGTTAAATAGGCCTATTCCAGTGCTGCTTAGGCTAAGCAACGAGATTTTTAGCCAACATCTCCTAAACCAGAGGATGTCCAACATTGTCTTTTAAGGAAAACATTAAGGAAGGAAGCTCCACAAGGTTCTCTAAAAAGAATTTACTCTGTTGCTACTGCAGAAAAGAGGGGTGGATGCATCTGGACCTTTCCCTTGCCCCTCATGTAATTATTTAAAGTACAGTGGTGCTGTACTTTATCGCTTGACGGCGATAACCCGTTCCAGCAAAATCACTGTTAAGTGATATCGTCGTCAAGCGAAAGAAAAAAAACCATTGAAATGCATTGAAAACCGGTTCAATGCATTCCAATGGGCGAAATACCTCATCGTCCAGTGAAGATCCTCCACAGGGGAAGCCATTTTCAGTCGCCGTCATCAGGAAATAGGTCCAGAAAATAGCAGGCGGCCATTTTGAAACCCGACGATCAGCTGTTTTTGATCACTGTAATGCGAATAATCGGTTCCCGAAGCAGGGAACCGATCGTCGTGAAGCTCATTTCCCCCTTTAAAACATTGTTTTGCGACCCTGAAGCAGGGAACCGATCGTCGTGAAGCTAATTTTCCCCTTTAAAACATTGTTTTGCGACAGCAAAAACCTCATTGTGAAGCAATTTTGTCGTGGAGCAGGGTAATAGTTAAGCAGTCTTGCATGGAAATATGTTGGTATATTTCAACATTTTTCTCCTCGTTCGAAGTGTACACATAGTCTCCATGTCCACCACCACCACTTCTATTTTATCTTCTATTTCTTCTTTTTGTATTTCATTCTCTTTTTTTAACATTTTTTAGGAAATCAGGATAAACAAGGTCTCTTAAATGAAGGGTTATGTGGCAACGTTTTTCAAGCGAATAAAACTCATTTCCCAGCCTATCTCTTTATTTTGTCCCTCCCCTTTCAGAGTACAGCTGTTTCAAATTTCTTTTGGCCCCACAGCTGTATATTCAGCCTCCAGAATGGTCCCCAAAAGCAAGCAACTTTGTTGAGCTATCCAGTTCCAATAATCTTTGTTTCTACCAGGAGCAGCTCTTTTGCAAAGCTAATGGATCTTAAGGGCCCATTCAAGACCAAGACCTTTTCACATACTTTGCTGTTGAAGAAAGTCAGCACACACAAGAGAACGTTGCTGGAACTACCACCCTGTGTAATATGAGGACTGCAGCCAAGTTCGGAAGGAAAAATAAAGCTATGATGGGGAAGAGGGTGGCACATGATCTCACTTCCTTACTAATCCTTACAAAGTCTTGGCACTGTGCAATGTAGCTCGATTACACCAGTGGATTTAAAAATCCCTTTGCAGCGTCCTCTTTTCTTTCCCTGCATTTTGCAACTCTTTGCTGTTGTAATCATCGCCATCATAATCTTCATCTTAGAACTGCAGAGCTGTAAGGGATCTTATGTATGGCTCACGGAGTGCAGCCCCTATCAAGGAGACACAGTGAGGAATCAAATTCCCGACCTCAGGCTCAGATACCTAAAACACTGAGCTATCCAGAAGTATTCTAGCTGTTCCCAGTGATTCTCCCTCTCATGATGGAAAGAGCAACTTGACTTTTGTGAAAACTATTTTTATTATTATTACTGTATTTTTAAATGTGTACCATCGTTTGTGGCTTCTTTTAGATCTCTTACTCATCTTGGTCCATTAAAAAAAAAAAGCAAAGGGAATTTGCAAACGTGGTTCCATTGCATCTCCCCGCTGGACAACACAGGGATATGTTTACAAATCCCTATGTTATGCCTGCAAATTCACAACAGAAACACATCTAAAAAAACTCCCACACAAATGAAAAAAGTGTCAGAACACTTGGATTCCCCTTGACACTCTGCCACTGTTCACAAAGTGGCTATTGTAGGGGCAAAAAATAATAATAATTCGTTGAGGAAGACAGCTAGATTCAGATACATTTACAAATTCCAGCCTATAAATCATTGGTTCTTAACCTTGGGTTAATCAGGAGTTTTGGACTGCAACTCCCAGAAGCCTTCACCACCAACTGTGCTGGCTGGGGTTTCTGGGAGTTGCAGTTCAAAAACATCCGAGTAACAAAGGTTAAGAACCACTGCTATAAATGAAGGTTTTACCTGGGACGACTTCTTAGCACACTATGTGTATAAATACATTGGCTTCCACCATTGTTTTTGAGGACAAAATTGTCAAGAAACTGACCCATGAAGGCAACCCCACTGTTATCTCACTCCTAGCCGTTCTAAGAATGCCCTGTGAAGACCCAGCCCAACTCTCCTGAGTCCCAAAAGCATGGGGTATACACTGGGATTGAAGATATGGAGGCAGTGACAGATTTAACTTTCTTGGGCTCCATGATCACTG